TTAATTTCTCCCTTGATTTCTTCTGTTATTCATTCATTATTTAAAAGTATATTATTTAATCTCCAGATGTTAGAGTGGTTTCTGTTTTTTATCTTATTTATTTCTAATTTCATTTCTGATAGAATGCAAGGTATTATCTCTGTTTTATTGTGTTTGCCAGCATTTGCTTTGTGACCTCAAATGCAGTGTATTTTGGAAACTGTTCTAGATGCTGCTGAGAAGAAAGTGAATTCAGTCATTGGTGGATAAAATACTCTATAGATATCTGTTAGGTCCATATTATTAATTGTATTTTTTTTAGTTCTGTAGAATTTTAGCTTAGTTTTTGTTTGGATGATCTATCCATTGGGGAGGGAGACATGTTGAAGTCACTTACTATTATTGTATTGTTATCTATTTGATTCTTAATGTTAAGAAGGGTTTATTTGGGGCTGGAGTTGTGGCTCAGTGGTACAGCGCTTGCCTAGAATGTGCGAGGCCTGGGTTCAATCCTCAGTACCACATAAAAATCAATAAATGGAATGGGTTCGATCCTCAGCACCACGTTGGAATGAAGGTGTTGTGTGCAACTACAACTAAAAAATAAATATTAAAAAAAGATTTATTTGATGAACGTAGATGCTTAGTTGTTTGGGACATAAGTATTTACAGTCAATATATCTTGTTGATGTATGATTCCTGTAAGAAGTATAAAGTGACCTTTTTTGTCTCTTTTGATTAGTCTTCGCTTCAGGTCCACTTTATCTGATATAAGAATACAGATAAAGTGAGTCCCAGGTGAATTGTATGTTTTTCCCTCCTTTCACCTTCAGTCTGTGGATGTCTTGCCTGTGGGGTGAGTTTCTTGCAGACAGCTTTTGTTGAGTCTTGTTTTTCAATCCAGTCTGTGAACCTGTATTTTTTGATTAAAGAGTTTAGATCATTTATATTTAATGTTGTTATCAAAAGGTGAGTTTTATTTCTGCCATTTTTCATTCATTTCTGATGTTAAAATTGGACTTCATTATTTTTTGATTGACTTTTCTAATGTAATTCCTCCCTACGCTGGTTTTTATTTTTATTTTTTCATTTCTTCTTCATGAAATATTTTTGTGAATATGTTTTATAATATAGGCTTTCTAGTTATGAATTATTTTAGCTTTCATTTATCATGGAAGTTTTTATCTCTTCTTCAATTCTGAAGTTTAATTTTTGCTTTATATAGTATTCTTGGTTGGCACACATTTTCTTTCAGTGCTTCATGTGTATTATCACAAGCCCTTCTGGCTTTAGGGTCTGGGTTGAGAAATCATTCGAAATCTGGATTGGTTTACCTTTCAGTGTGACCAACCATTTTTCTCCTGAAGCTTTAAAAATTTTATGTTTATTTTATATGTTAGACATTTTCATAATATTGTGTTTTGGAGTGGAACTATTGAGATTTTGTATATTGAGAGTTCTGTATGCCTCTTGTATTTTAATTTCCATCTCATTCTTAAATTTTTCTTATACTATTTCATTAAAAAGATTGTATATCCCTTTAGCTTGTATTTTAGAGCCTTCATCTACCCCAATGATTCTAAAATTTGTCCTCTTGATGTTATCACAAATTTCTTGACTATTCTGTTCATGGTGTCTTAACATCTTTTTTTTATGGTCAGCTTTATTTTGAAGATTATGTACTTTGTCTTTGAGGATTAAAAATCTGTCTTCAAAGTGGTCTAATCTATTGGTGGTGCATTCCACTGAATTTTTAATTTAGTTTATTGATTCTTTTATTTCCAGGATTTTTGTTTGGTTCTTTTTCAGAATCTATCTCTTTATTGAAGTGATCTTTTGCTTCCTATATTTTCTGTGATTTCACTTCTTCCATTTCTTTTAGCTCATAGAACATTTTAACTGTGAACTTTCTAAATTCCTTCTCTGGCATTCCCTCTACTGTAGTGTCAATGAAGTCTGTTGTTCAAGCATTGTGGACTGTTTGGGATGGTTTGGCTCCTTGCTTTTCATATTGTTTGATGTCTACCTATCCATCAGTATAGTTCTCACTTCTTCTAAGCGAAGAACTACTTTGTGAGCTTCTTTCTCTTAAGAGCCCTGGTTTGGGTGAATGTCTAGCTAATGATATTTTAAGTTGTGATCTCAATATCAGCACTACTTTAAGAAATGCTACTGAGCCCTGTGGACTATAATCACTATAGAGCAAAGCCTTGTTATTTATACTCAACCTTAAAAGAAACAAAAACTTACTGCAGTTGTTCTCCACACTTACTCAAGTTCAGGTGTAAACCTATAATAATCTTTGGAATAAGTCAGTAATTAGTTGGTAAATTTAATAAACTTACCTTAAATGAGGGCTAAAAGGGGGAGGAATAAACCATGTCAAGTGAAGAAAATTCTTGTTAAATTTTGGTTTGGATTTCGTTGAGGTTTGGACATTTAGCAGATGTCCATCAGTTTTTGGTTCTGGATCTCTCACAAGTTGCAGGGCCACAGGAGCCACGTCCCTAGTTTTTATGAGCCTCCAACAGCAGCTTCTGGTTTGTCAACCCAGAGGCCTGCAGCTGAATGCTTGGAGGGCGCACTGTTGTGAGTTGGCTGTTTCTATTGTGTGGCATAGTTCAGGATGCAGGCTCTCATGCGCCCTGTGTTTGCTGTGGGTCATCGTGTATCTGCTCCTCTCTATAGAATCCTTTTCATGGTAGGGAAGATCCTGGTAGCCGTGAGCACAGGAACTCTGGTTGTGGGTTTTCTGCATATGTTCTGTGGTGCACGGATACTCCTCTGGCTGGCCACTCTGTGAGATACTGCAGTGAAGGGTGTCAGGTGGTTCACCTGGACTCTCGTTTCCACTGCCCCCGGTTGTGAATGGTGGGTGTTGATTCCCTCTATTTACTAAGTCTGATGCAAGGTCCACAAATGCCCAACAATGCCTTCTCAGTTTTCATTTGTGATCATGGGTCAGGCAGTGTGCCACTTAAGGCGGGGGGCAGCCTCTTCTTTCTGTGAAGGCTCTGGTAATTTTCCACCTCAGGCAATTTTGGGAGTGGTGAATGAATTATGAGTCATTGAACTGCCCAGAGACAGAGGTGATGTTTCTCTTGAGACTTTCTTGGTACCAAGATTCTGAGAAAACTGCCCAGTTGTATGGCGATGCCCTGTTCAAAGGAAAATCCCTTGCTAGCCAAAGAATTTTGTTAGTTCACAATCTTGGGTTCAAACACCTGCTGCCCACAGGTAGAGAGAGAATCATAGGCTTGAGCCAGTGATCCCTAATTGGGCTGCTCTTACCCTCAGCTTCTGCTCTGTTTATCTTGAAGAAGCTTTCTCCCGATGCGTCCTTCTGATGTTCAAACCTGTGTAGTGGATGCACTGAGCTTGCTCGTGGTCATCTCCCTCCACCAGAGGCAGGCTGGACCTCCGCGCCCTGGCCTTGTCTCCACTTTGGTCTGTCTGTCTTCTTCCTAATCCCCTCATCAGCCGGTTCATGTAGCCCTGGATAAACTGTCATGCAGGACACGACAAGGCAGCTTCCCCGATCGGCCCCACCACCCTGGGTCCTGTCCCTAAGCTTCCCCTGGTGCCTCCCCCAAGGTCAGTGGACAGGGCCTGGTGACCTTTCCTCTGCTGGGGGCTAAACTGCTTTGTTTCTCTGTGTCTCAGGGGAGTAGTCAGGAGCTTCTGCCCTGGCCGGGGTTTACAGGCTGAGCGGCGTTAGGCACAGCTCCTGCCACAGGTCCCCACCAGCCTCGTTGTTCCCTCGTTCATGGGGGGGGGGGGGGGGAGGCTCAGTGAATTTTGACTGGGAGTGGTCTTCCTGGAAGTTCTTTCTGGCCAGATTATTAAAAGGTCCCAAGGTAGGGGACTGCCCTCCGGTTTGATTTGCAGCTGTCTGATTTAAGGGGGTGAATGGTCAGCTGAGGGCTCCACAGGATGACTGTGGACCCACAGCTCAGTTTTCTTTTCACACTTTGGCTTTCAACTCTTTGCTCTGTCTTCAGGAGCCTTTGGTTGGTTACCGTCACACTTTAAATTTTGTCTGTCTTTCCAAAATGTTTTTAAGTGGGTGAGTTTAAGAGATTATCTGTGCCCCCTTCCCTCCCCAGGTTCAGTTTTGGGGTTAGGGGACTCTGAGTTTGTTTTCTTCTCTGGTAATCTATCTTCCATGTCTCAGACTTTGTAATATTGAGTCTATTTTTTTTAAATAACGTTAAAAACATTACTTATTTTAAAGTGTCCATAAGTGGCATATTTGTTTTTCAATTTAAGTTTTTTATAGCTGTCCTATATATGTGACAATTGAACATAATGGACTGAAATTGTTGGTTTGTTAAGAAATTATCAGAATATTAAATTCTCAGAAAATTAACAGTGATTCCAGTAATTGGATAATCTATAATTTTCTATAGGTTAATATTAAAAACATTTATTTTGTTGCTCACCTCTCAATTCTGCTTTTCCTTTGCCATCTCCATGTAAGGAGACAGAACTTGCTGCCTAGCTCACTTTTGCCATCTTCCTGTCCTTAAATGAATTTTCAAAAATGTTTGTGTAAATGACCTATGAATGCAGGTATGCTTTCATTTTCCCCTAATAGCCATGCTAACAACTTCTATGCATGTAGAATATTTTCAAGTACAAATTCTAATAGTAAATTATTGTCCAGTGTGGTTGTTGTCTAAAGCAAATAATAACCATGTAGTAATTGAATTAATTTATTTTAAAAAATCCTGTAGGTTTTTCAAAAGGACCATCTCTTTTTTTAAAATATGGGTTTTCTTTCCTATCACTGCACCTTCTTAATTCCTTCTCCTCCAACTCCTATTCTTCAAGACTCTACAAAAATCATTCTACAGGAAATAGTGTTAATGCTCAGTAAATTAGAAATATTTGGAAGAATTTGAAATAAATGAAATTCACCCCTCCCACATCCCACACCTATTCTCATTCTCTAGGAGGGTGACACTGTTTCTTATGTTAGGCTGCATCCAGATTATCTTTTCTCTGTTTCCTAGTGATCTGGAGCCTGAGTGGCTGGACAGTGTGCAGAAAAATGGAGAACTGCTGTACTTGGAGTTGAGTGAGGGTGAAGAGGAGAGCCTCCTTCCTGAGACACTAACTGTGAACCACGTCAGGTTCAGTGAAAATGAGATTATCATTGAAGAGGATGACTACAAAGAAAGAAAAAAGTGTGAACCCAAACTCAAGCGATTTACCAAAATTTTAAAAAGTAAAAGACTTTTACCCAAGCGCAACAATAAAAAAAATAGCAGTGATAATGGGCCAGTATCCATTCTAAAGCATCAGTCCAATCAGAAGACAGGAGTCATTATCCAACAGCAGTACAAAGATGTGAATGTTTATGTGAATCCCAAAAAGCTCACCGTCACAAAAGCCAAAGAACAGCTCAGACTTCTAGAAGTGCTGGTTGGAATTATCCACCAGACCAAGTGGAGCTGGAGGAGAAGTGGGAAGCAGGGCGATGGAGAGAGGCTTGTGGTCCACGGCCTGTCGCCAGGAGGGTCTGCTATGAAGAGTGGTCAGATAGTAGTTGGTAAGTGTCACTGATGAACGTCGGTGTTGTTTGCAAGATTCATGATTAGTGATAATGCCTTGTGAGAGCTGTGATTAAAGAAACTGTTATAGAGGGTCTCACAGATTAAGGGCTGATGAGTGATCCACTGATTATTTCTCTGTGGTAGAGAAATTGTTGCAGTTGGTGTACCACAAGGCACAGTGTTCTTAAAATAAGCGGTTCAGTGTGTTGAATACATGTGCTCCTTGTTCAGGCCAGGCGATAGCCTAATTTTAAAGTTTTGATTATGTAATTTTATTTAAGCTTGGTTATATTTGCTGACAAGAAAAAGAAAATAAGTTGATTGTATGGTGATAATTTAGGCTTGAATGGCTGCATCCAATAGCATGATGTAAAAATCTATAATTTATGAATAAAAATACCTTTAAATTGTATGTTTGCACTTGAGTACACTAAGTTCTTGGACTTAAACTACACTTAAACTGTTTCATTTGGCATACTTAGCAACAGTAGTATTACACATGAATTTCCTTTTAAGGGTGCTTGTCATAAAATACTCCACTGCTTTTGAGGAAAAGCTTAAGTCCCCAAGTTATTCTGAATATGCATTAAGACGAGCATTCTGTGTTGCTGACAGATTTTAAGGTGTTGCATATAATGTTTGAATTAGTAGCAATCTTTCTTTCTTTCTTTTTGGTACCAGCAGTTGAACCCAGAGGTGCTTAATCACTGAGCACATCCCAGTCCTTTTTATTTTTTATTTAGAGACAGGGTATCATTGAGTTGCTTAGGGCCTCACTAATTTGCTGAGCTGGCTTTGAATTAGTGATCCTCCTGCACTGCTGGAATTATAGGCGTGTGCCACGACTCCTGGCTAGTAGCAATCTTGTTAATTAAAGATAAGGTCAGTATTATTGGGGCTGGGTTTATAACTCAGTGGTAGAGCGCTTGCCTAGCACATGTGAGGCATTGGGTTTGATCCTCAGCAGAACATAAAAATAAATAAATTAAATAAAGGTATTGAAAAATTTTAACATGCATTAAAAAAGATGAAGTCTGTATTATTAATGAAACTTAAAATTATAATAGTTCTAGAACCTGACAGTCTTTTAAGTTGACCCAGCTTAAGAGATTAGACAGAGATTTTTCAGATACTTCAGAAACATTTTTAAGTTAAGTATGTCTGATTTGAAGTCTGAATTTCAGGTTTTTATTCATAGATTCAACAAATTAAACATTTTTTGAGCTTCTACTAAGTGCCAAGAATGCAAAGATTGCTGTCACAACCTGATACTCTTATAAAGGAGCTCATATTCTACTGGAAGGGATGGATCACAAAGAGGCAGAGACTTTCACACATTGTGATAACTCTTTACACAGAGGGTCCTCCAGAATCGTGTAAGAAGAACCTCAGGGCAAAGTGTGTGTTCCAGAGTGGCAGCAACAGCATCTCCATGCAGTCTTCTCACACTGTGATATCCATATTTCCTAGGGAGAATTACATCCGTGTCCTCAAGTCTGGGTGGGCCTATAACTACAGATTAAGTGATGCTGTGTGACTTACCAGGTTGGGTCATAAAAGGTGATACTGCTTCTGCCTGGTTCTTTTGGGGACACTTGTTCTTGGAACCCGGTCACCATTCTGTGAGAAGGCCAGGCCAAATGGAGAAGCCAGGAGTGGTGATCTGACTGACAGCCTAGCTGAGGTCCCACCCATCAGACCTGAGTGGAGAAGCTTCCAGGACGACTCCGGCCCCAGCCCCACCTGGCTACAAATGTGTGAGGAGCCTCTTGTGGGAACCTTAGTTGAGCCCAGAGCCAGAACGGATAACAAATTAATGTGCTCGTTTCAAGCCACTGAATGTTCTAGATGGTTTGTAATGCAGCAGTTGATAACCAGAGTGGGAGCTAATGTCCACTTGTATGCTGTTAGTGCTCAAATTTCTTTCTTGTAAAATAATGGGATTTTCTCAGGTTCCTTTCTGTTTCTCAGGTTAGTTTTTTTACTTCTACAGAAGGCCAGGATTTCCCCCAATACATTCCTCCTGCCCTCGCCTCCCCGCCTCTCTCCCCTCCCTCCTTTCCTTCCCCTCTGCTCAATCTAGAGTTCCTCCTTTCTTCCCTTGCCCCCTACCCATTATGGATCAGCATCCACTTGTCAGAGAAAACATTTGTTTTTTTGAGATTGGCTTACTTTGCTTAGCCTGATATTTTCCAATTCTGTCCACTTACCTGTAATTGCCATAATTTCATTCTTCTTTAAGGCTGAATAGTTTCTCTATCCATTCATCTATTGAAGGGCATCTAGGCTGTTTCCACAGTTTAGCTACTGTGAATTGAGCTGCTATAAACATTAAGGTGGCTACATCACTGTAGTGTGCTTTGTCCTTTGGGTATAGACTGTGTCAAATGGTGGTTCCATTCTAAGTTTTCTAAGGTATCTCAATACTGCTTTCTAAAGTGTTTGTACCATTTGCAATCCCAAAGGCAATGAATGAATCAGTGTACTTTTCCCCCTACAACCTCCCAGCACTTATTGTTGCTTGATTTTTTTTGATAATTGCCATTTTACTAGAATAAGATGAAATCTTAGTTTTAATTTTCATTTTTCTGACTGCTAGAGTTGAACATTTTTTTTCATAAATTTGCTGATCGATTGTATATCTTCTGTGAAGTGTCTGCTCATTTACTTAGCCCATTTATTGATTAGGTTATTGGTTTTTAAAAATTTATATGTGATAGCAGAATGTATTACAACTCTTACTACACATATAGAGCACAATTTTTCATATTTCTAGTTATATACAAAGTATATTCACACCAATTCGTGTCTTCATACATGTGCTTTGGATGATAGTGTCCATCACATTCCACCATCTTTTCTAACCCTATGCCCCCTCCCTTCCCCTCCCACCCCTCTGCCCTATCTAGAGTTCTTCTATTCCTCCCATGCTCCCTCTTCCTACCCCACTATGAATTAGCCTCCTTATATCAAAGAAAACATTAGGCCTTTGGTTTTTTAGGGATCAGCTAACTTCACTTAGCATTATCTTCTCTAATTCCATCCATTTACCTGCAAATGCCATGATTTTATTCCCTCTTATTGCTGGGTAATATTTAATTGTATATATATACACCACATTTTCTTTATCCATTCATCTACTGAAGGGCATCTAGGTTCGCTCCACAGTTTAGCTATTATGAATTGTGCTGCTATAAACATTGATGTGGCTGTGTCCATGTATTACGCTATTTTTAAGTCCCTTGGTATAGACCGAGGAGAAGGATAGCTGGGTCAAATTGGTGATTCCATTCCCAATTTTCCAAGAAATCTCCATACTGCTTTCCATATTGGCTGCATCAATTTTTGCAGCCCTACCAACACTGTATGAGTGTGCCTTTTCTCCCACATCCTCGCTAACACCTATTGTTGTTTGTCTTCATAATAGCTGCCATTCTGACTGGAGTGAGATGAAATCTTAGAATGGTTTTGATTTGCATTTCTCTCATTGCTAGTGATGATGAACATTTTTTCAAAATTTGTTGATTGATTGTATATCCTCTTCTGAGAAGTGTCTGTTCAGGTCCTTGGCCCATTTGTTGATTGGATAATTTTGCGTGTGTGTGTGTGTTTAGCTTTTTGAGTTCTCTATATACCCTAGAGATTAGGCTCTATCTGATTTGTGAGGGGTAATGATTTGCTCCCAGGATGTAGGCTCTCTATTCACCTCACAGATAGTTTCTTTTGCTGAAAAGAAACTTTTTAGGTTGAGTCTATCCCATTTACACAAGACTCTTGTGCCACAGGAGTCTTATTAAGGAAGTTGGGGTCTAACCCTGCATGATGGAAATTAAGACCTACTTTTTCTTCTATTAGACACAGAGTCTCTGGGATTATTTCTAAGTCCTTGGTCCATTTTGAGTTGAGTTTTGTGCATCGTGAGAGATAGGTGTTTAATTTCATTTTGCTGCATATGGATTTCCAGTTTTCCCAGCACCATTTGTTGAAGAGGCTATCTTTTCTCCAGTGTATGTTTCTGGTGCCTGTGTCTAGTATGAGTTGACTGTAATTATGTGGTTTAGTCTCTTTTTAAGACCTGATTAGCATAAATTTGTACCAGTAATATTGGTGCTTTTCCCAAATATGATATCATAAATTTGGACCAATAGTGTTGACTCAAGAGTCCCATTTCTATTTTGGGGCCCCTTAACTAATTATCTTGAGTTACCTCAGCTGTTGCTGCCACCACCTTTAGATGTGGTAGCATACATTGAGGGACCCCAGCAGGGTCTAGAAACCCAACATCAAGGTGAGGTACAGACAATCTGCATGGGTACTACAAGAATATAGAGTAGAAACTGTAATATCTCAGATCCACACTGCAAGAGAGGAAGACACACAGACAACATGAAAAAACAAGGGAGGAAAGTGCCCCAAACAAACCAGCTTACTGTAATAACAGAACAAAGTATATTCACACCAATTTGTGTCTTCATACATGTGCTTTGGATGATAGTGTCCATCACATTCCACCATCATTTCTAACCCTATGCTCCCTCCCTTCCCCTCCCACCCCTCTGCCCTATCTAGAGTTCGTCTATTCCTCCCGTGCTCCCTCTTCCTACCCTACTATGAATTAGCCTCCTTTTATCAAAGAAAACATTCAGCATTTGGTTTTTTAGGGATTGGCTAACTTCACTTAGCATTATCTTCTCTAATTCCATCCATTTACCTGCAAATGCCATGATTTTATTCTCTCTTATTGCTGAGTAATACTCCATTGTATATATATACACCACATTTTCTTTATCCATTCATCTATTGAAGGGCATCTAGATTGGTTCCACAGTTTAGCTATTGTGAATTGTGCTGCTATAAACATTGATTGATGTGACTGTAATAACAGAACCCATGGGCAGCAAAGTTGATGAAATATCAGAGAAGGAGTTCAGAAGGTTCATAATTAAAATGATCTGTGAATTAAAGGATGACCTAAATGTTGACCCTGATTTTTAAA